AGTATAAGTTGTAACTGCTAATTTTAAATGAACTATTTTGAGCATCCTTACATCAATTGAAATAACTGATTCTAAAGATTTATTTATTTACAGAGTCAACAATAAGCAATATACTATAATTTGTTATACTAAAAATGCTTTAAATGTTTTATTATATTGCCTAAATTATTTTATCCATGATATGCTGCTGATCAATTAAAAAAAAGTAATATAAAGAATTAATTCATAATATGGATGTATCATACTTAAACAATAACTTAAGAATAACTGTTATGAGTTGGGTTTTTTAAGAAGGCAGTTGTTATATCTTAATTACACAAGGTATTTTGAACATGCAAATGCACTGTGTAACCTTTGTCATTTAGAACTAAGAGAAGATTTACTGAACTTTTTGCTTATTTGTCCAATGTTAAGGGAGTTGCGAGAAAGATAGCTTGAGAAAAACATTTGGTAAGTAGATTACAGAATATTTAAATGAAGGAAATTCTAATGCTCTGATAAGTTTCTCTAAAGAAGCTAAAATTTCTATTGAAATAAATAGAACATTGACATAATCAGACATATTGACATAATCAGGGATTTTCGGAAATATGTTGCACAAATAAAGAGTTTTTAATTTATTTATTTTTTAAATATTGGTTTTGATACTACAATTGAAACAGAGAATGTAGGTTTTCGAGTTTCTTGAAAAATTATAAATGATAACTAGAGTTCGCTTTGAAAACAACTTAATTAATATATTTTTTGGGGGGATGGTTCCTGGGGACTGAAGTCTCTCCTCCTCCCTCCCCCCCTTCCCCAAAATGGTAAAACATTGACCTGTCTTATGAAAAAAATGTTAAAAAACTATCTCTAAAAGTATTATTTTTCGTGTAATTACATTTAATAGGACTTCAAAAATTACTTAAATACCATGTCGTTTAGGTAGTTAGTTTCTTTGTTTTTCTTCCAAATTAATTATCGTCATAAACTAAAAAAATATACATATTCTTGGCTGAAGCTCCCTCCTCCCCCCCCCAAAAATAAAATCCATGATCCGCTAGTGGTGATGAATGAATAATGTTAGCTATGCTAAACAGCTAGCTCCTGATGTGAAAGATCACTCCCGCTATCCTGCTGAAGTTTTGTTAGCTACAATCATTTGAAACCAAACCTCCACCTTTCATACTTTTTAAGGACCTATTTTTCTTTTATTTGAACACTGTTTAATGCATGAAGTGTGAGGACAATAAATGTGTATGGTAATTAGAAAAAAATCAACTGTCAATCCGAACTGTGTCAAGCTTTTCGTAACTTTGTTAGCAGATTTGTGTCCTCTTTTTTTCAACGTTTTCCTGATTCCTCCCGCATCTTTTCTTTCCAGATATATTACATTCCATTACACTTAAAACAGTAGTACTAAAAATACGATGAAAGTCTTATTATTGCTTTCCCCGCAAAATAACGAAATTAACACCAGCTTTAACAGACCTCAGCCCGTGTTAAATTCGATTGTGCTCCTGGCCATATTTAGCACGTGCATCTCAAATAAGATTTAATATGTTTATAATACTTAGCGTTAGTTTTATTAATACCCCTATCGGTTATTATATTTCTATTGTTAGATATTTTAATATATTTATATTTTATGTGAGTATAGAAATAAAATGTATTTTCAATAAGTGTTTATTTAAATTCTATATTTGCTGTTGAATTTATCCTCTGATGGTCTTTGGGTAAGAATATATAGCAAGCATGAATATATGTATAACTAGTTGGCCCGTGCGAATAATTATCAGAAAATTTTGTTTAGTGAAGAAATAGAAAAACAAAATAGAAACAAGTAGATCCTATGTATTATGTGAGGAAGGAATTAATATTTTTTTTCCTTGGTCGATTACAATAATAGACCAAAATATTTGTACATATGGTTGACTGGAAAGATAATAAAAACAAAATAATGCCCTGATCATGGGATTTTCTAAATTTTTTTTTTTTTTTTAGCTTATTTATTGAAAAATATTACCATCTGTCTCAAGGACATGATCTAAATTATTTAAAAAAAATAAAATGTAAGAACAAACAAATACCTTTAAGAAATTATACAGTTAATATATCAGCCAGTAAAAAAAGTGTAGTAAGCTATTCTACTCCTAAATGCAATATCTTTAAAGAGGTATACATTATTAAATATACCAAAACTAATGGACTGTATCTTTGTTAATAATTGTCCGATTTTTATGATTTTTTGTTTTGCAGGTAATTTAGTATTTTTTCTAATTATTATGGGTAGAATCCAGAAAAAAATGCATACGTTTTTAGTTATTCGCGAATAAAGTTTATTTTTCTTCATAACTTTTTTTCCAGAAATTTTGGGAAGATAGGACTATTTTGTGAGGAGAAGAATATCTTCAAAATGAGTGGTCAATCATTGGATTTGATGAAGAATTGAGGAAGTTATGACGTACCGACAAAAAAATCTTTTAGAAATAATAATATAAGATGATAATAGGAATAAGAGCTGTGCGGAGATAGTCATAATGGCAACGACTTCACTTTTCATTATGATGTTTTTGCCTGGCGTTAACTAAAACATTCATAACTCCTCAGGATTTTATCCTAATTCAAACGTTTTCTACAGCAGTTGGGAAGCTGAATTATCGCTCTTCAAGACCGTATAAATAACTTTTTGATTTAGCACGTCTACAGATAGTAAATAAATAAAAACTGTGAAGGATGTTTCTTTTCCGTCATAATTTTTTTTTTTTCAGAAATTTCGGGAGGATAGGACTATTTTTCGCATGTGAAAGAGAAGAATATCTTGAAAATGAGTGGTCAATCATTGGATTTGATGAAGAATTGACGAAGTTATGGCGTACCGACAAAAAAAACACCTTTTAGAAATAATACATAGGATAATTATTTATCGATACACGCATTATTACTTTTCAGTTAACATTATTATAGCCCCTCGACCGTATTTTTTTGTAATTATGATATGTTGCATTTCCTTCAGATAGTAACTTACAAGATAAACAAATGACGACGCCCGGGAGGTAAACGTCCTTCCCTATACGCAACCCTCTGTCGCCAAAACTTCCATAGAGAAGCCCCGACATCCGCCGATGATTCTTCACAGTTCTAGGACTGAAGTGATTCCTGTATTGAATGAATCACACCTAGCCTAGTTATTTTGTCGGATCTTAAAATGAGGTTGAAGGACATACTCATACAGACTGGATTATTTGTTTCCTAATCTCGTTAGATTAGTACAAATAAAACACTTCTATCTACAGTGAATTTCGTCAATTTCCTACGGGTTACATCTTGACTAATACAAAAGCAAATAATTCTTTATTACTTTAATTTTAAAAATAGACACGACCTTAGGCAAGGATGGCAGGAAACTGTTTATTTTGGATCATATCATTCTTAAACAATATGATAAAAACGCATAATCTTAATATTCAGGTTCAATTGAAAAAAGCAGAGGAAATCATTTTTCATGCAAATTTTGTGTAATTTTTACATAACTACATCAAAGCCACTGAGTGTAATTTGATCACCCGTAAGTATCTAACTATTTTTGGAACAAATGGCTTGATTAGTTTTTAAGTTTGATGGTTCCTATTATTCAGTAAAATACCCTGAGTGTTCTCAAATCATTTGAGCTCAAAACACTGACAAATTTATAGTAAAATTTGTTAAATCAATCCGCTAAATGATATTTTATTACTTATTGTTCCAATGACTTGACAGATTTTTAAGTCCGCAGACTCAAATTATTCAGTGAGATCATGTGAGTCTTTTAAAACAACCTGGGCATAAAACACTTGCACATTATTGCATAAAATGTGTTTAATCAATCCGTCAAAAGTTATGTCACGATATTTTGAACGAAAGGTCTTCCCTACCGATTTTTAAGTTAGGCGGTAAAAATTACTCACAATCAGTGAAGCTAAAAACAATTTGAGCCTAAAATTCAAATCAAGGACGGGGTGGCCGATCTGGGAAACGCGTATGCAAAACATGCGTTGCCCGGAGCAACCTGTGATAAAGTGGTTCACGAGTTTAAATCCCGGTGCAGAGGGACTTTTAACACAAGCGCTAATCCCAGCCATCACCCCTGGCCTGGGAAAAACCCGTATATCCTAAAAGGCGAGGAAGGAAAGAAAAAAAATGTTGGTTTCATATCATACAATATGTAACTTTGTGATCATATGTAGTAAATATATATTGTCATTAAATCAAAAAATAAAAATATAATTTAGTTTAAAAAAAAAAAAAAAACTACAGAAATAACCCTATCTATTCTATGGGAATATAATAGCATACCTACTTAAAAATCTTGGTAGATTGTTAAAGTGCGTTTAGTTAAGTACATTTGCTGTTAGTTAAGTTAGATAATTGTGTTATCCATTGTTTGTAAAATGTCTTAACCTTTAGGGAAATTTACGTAAGCAAATATTTAAGCCTGGTGAATTAATCTGGTGCCTTCTACTACATAGTAAGACCCCAATCTAATAAATTTCATCCCATGTGCCAGTGCATCTGAGCATCCGAAAGAGTCTTGTGATTGGTTCGGGAATAGATGGCACGCGATTACTACAAGTTTTAATATTCTTGTACATCGATTTATCTAAAACCTTATCAAGGTGTGTCAGTACAAAACCAAATGTATTTCCTTAGAATAGATAGGCCTGTTTCTGAAGATATATATTTTTTTATTATTATAACTAATACTAATATAAACGTTTTTATTTATTTCAAGCTCTTGCTCTCTTCCTCTATGCTTCCCGACGCTTCACCTACGGTATTAAATGCGTTTGTAGATATGGATTCAGCACTAAACACATACTATATTTAAGGTTCAGTTTGGCAGTATTTAAATCTTTGTTGCCCTACTTAACTAACTATCCGTGAAAGTCCAACGCTTTAAGTCACCGTCTTTATCTTAATGGCTTCCGTTGTCGAAGAGCCCCGACTCAAGAGATAAGACGACCTCAGTACTCGACGACCCGATGCAGAAGACGGGAGCCCTGCTCCTCCTGGCGTGCCTGCAGGCCTCAGGGCAGCGGCCCGAGGTCACCATTCCCGATGGGACCCTCGTGGGGATACCCATGACCACCATACATGGCAGGACCGTGTCTGCGTTCCGCAACATACCCTTTGCTGCTCCTCCTGTTGGGCCTCTCAGGTTTCAAGTATGAAAATCCCTTCATAAAGTAATAGTACTCAGAATGACAAAAAAGTCAGCATTATAAATGTGCACAGTGGTCAAAGATATTCTCTGATACAATAGAAACCCACTTAATCGGCCATATCTTAACCAGTCAGAGCTGCCCAAAAAGAGTTTACATACAAATTTTTGATAAGTTAGGTACCAAATCTATGTGATAAATTAGAGTTTTTCTTCCGTATTATTAATTTATAATACTCCGTATTACCTCCGAGTAAGCTGGGTCCTGAATCCCAAAGTACCTGGTCATGGATGGTGTTGCCCAAATGCGAGACCGAGCCGGTACTTGATCTTGCAAAAATAAACTCAGTCTTGGTCTTGCGCAAGAGTCTTGCAGTTACTTATGAGCTTATTACTATTGAGATATTACGGTATTTTGTTTAGATAGGAGAAACATAACTAAGCCCGAATGAAAAATTAGAGGAGTTAAATGCAGAATTATATTGGTTATACCAATTATTTACATATAGTAACTAACATTGTCCAGTTTTAGTAACTATTTTGCCTTAATTTTTATTCAAAAAATCGATTTTTTTTTTAACAGACCTGGTCTTGGTCTTAGTATTGTTGTATTGATAGGCAACAGTTAGGCGGCCTTGGTCTTGGTCTTGCAAAGTGCAAGACCAAGAACGATTTTGGGCAACGCTAGTCATGGACGTTATGGATTCAATTCCGGCGGCCCCGAGAAATGAATCTTGACATTCCCACTCTGGCGGAAACCTCAAGATAGACGTTAGAGATTGGCAAAAAGGACCATATCAGCTTACTAGCCAGACTAGTTCTCCCGACAGTACCAGTACCGGTATCCATTCAGAATTTAACGTCTCTCCCGCCCAACCGATGTCTCTGTCCTGACTAGGATGTATAGCAGAGTTTTAAAATAGGTACAACTGTAAGGTCATCTGGAACTCTTACTAGGTCTAGCACCTTCAACTAGCTCTATAAAAATGACTTTTTTAAAGAACAGACCAAAGAGGTTTTATTTTCTGTCCTATAAATTTATATGAAAATAAAATATTGACGAAATTACATATATTCTATAATAATTTCCCCCCTCCCTCTTTCTCACCTCTACCCTAAAGGGTCCTTGGCGTTTTCTATGATTTATACTCTGTTATAGTAGTTTACATTTTTTAAAAATTTTAACAGATCGAGACTCTTTCTTCATTGTCTTGGAGTATTTCGTTTAGTGTTTTTCCTAGTTCTATTTTTTCTTTGTGACTTTCGAATTAGGGACATTCTACTAGAAGGTGTTTCACAGTTTGCGGTGTATCATTACATAATAATTATGTATGATTATAAAAAAGCAATTTAAATATTTAAAAATATTAATTTTAAAAGAAATTTTTTTTTGCATTCTTTAGAAATGATGAGGTGTGGTTATAATGGTCAATTCAATATTTGACAGCATCCTGTAAAAATTATCCCTGGCGCCTATAGTTTCTCTCCATGATCCTGCTTATCACCTCATCATTTATTAGCTGGGGGAAAAAACAGGAGGAGAATACTTACAAGCAGCTAAAATGTACTTCGTAATCATAAAATAAGCTGGAAAAAAATATTAAATCATTTAAAAATCAAAATTGGAGTAAATATCCAAAGAATTATCTCATTCCATTGAACTTCGAAAAATAAGTAAATTCAGACATGTTTAAAGTTATGTTACTCCATATTCTTACTCGTGTCGTATAATTACTAAATTAGCAAGTAACACTAAATTTAGATATGTTTAAATGAGACAGTATATTTCTTCGTGTATTTTTATATTTCCATTAAGTTTAAAAATTGTTTTCTAAAAACACTAAAATAATTATTATGTTTAAGGGCTTTTAAAATATGATTCATTATTTGATTTTTAAAAATTTCTGTGTACCAACATTTATAAGAATGAAGGACAAAGATAAATATCTTTATATTACCAAAGATAATATCCATTCTTATTCTTCTTTTGTACCTTATATATATACTTATTTCTTTAGCTACCTCAACCAGTAAGACCATGGAGGATCCCCAGAGATGCTGGTGTGATGGCTCCCGCATGCCTGCAATACTTCTCTCTCTTCCGAGTCACAGGTGGCCAAGAAGACTGCCTGTACCTCAATGTATTCACACCACAGGTGATAAATGACAATAACGTTCATATGTAAATCAAATTTGTGGAAAATAAGTAAGGTGAGCTATTAAACCATACATGTTTATACATTTCTTCTGCCATATTTTGTCTTCCAGAATGCTTCTTTAGACAGCCATAAATCATTAAAGAAATCCCATGAGAGGGAATAAGCAAAATCACAAAGAAAATTATACCCTAATGAAGAAAAAATAAAATGTAAATGATAATCTACAAATAACTTAATAATATCTTTATTTTCTCAAATAAGGGGCAAAAGTGCAGTTATCAGTTAAAAATAATTTAAAAGACCATCATTTTTAACAGTAATGGTTGTTGTTTTCAATTAATCATTTCACTCAACGGAAATATTTTTTTGAGATATAACTAATTGTAAGACAGCTAATTCAAAAAATACTGGGCTATATAACATTGTTTTAAATAAAAGGTAGCCCTATTAAAATTGGGTTTATAATTACTCATTTCTATATAATTACATTTTTTATTAACTCAACATAGTTGAGCAGCTATAGAGTTTTATTATACTTCTCTCTAATTTAAAAATCTTATAATTAAATAAACAAATAATTTATTTAAAATATTGAATCATTTTAATCTTACCAAAATAGATCTTCTATAAAAAAAATTCTTATTGTACCAACAAATTTATTTATTTATTATATGAACTATTCAATAACTTATTTCTTTTTTTCTAAGAAAATTAATCCAATCATTTATTTTATGATCATTGATGGAATATTCATGTTGACAATATATAATTCATAACTCTATCTAGTTGCCCTCGTCTGGAAGTGACGTATCATTACCAATCAACGTATACATCCATGGAGGAGCTTTTGAATTTGGTACAGGTGCAGCCTATGGACCGAGGTACTTACTCGACTACGATATGATACTTGTTACGATCAACTATAGACTTGGAGTCTTTGGTAAGTTGTTTAAATTTCATCATATCTCTTTATCTGAATTACTGTAAGAACACCTTTACCTTAAATGTTTTATTTAATAAATTAAGTCAGATGAAAAATTAAAGATACTTTAACATAAAAAAAAAAAATTATAACTTTACCATTTCTATTTCTTCTTGATAATTTGTAATATGCATATTATATAATCTGTATTCTTCTTTTATATAATTTCATTTTCATAAAGTGTTGTAATTAGAGCATTAGACATCAGCAAATTTGTTTCATAATAAAAATTAAAAATATACAATATTTAGAATTTCCTCAAAATACAACCATTAAAATTGATAATTATAATTATAATTAATAAATATAAACATTGTCCAAGAAATAAACAATTGCTGCTTCATCAATTTTGGTTGAACAAAATACAAAAAAAAAAAAAAAAAAAATTACCAAACAATAATTGCCAGAAAAGTTAAAAAGTGTGATATTTTCTCTTCATTAGTAGGTTCAATACAACCTCATTATGTTGAGGAACTGTTTGTCAAGAACCACTGTCATTTCTTTTAAAGACAAGCAATCTTTCTTCTACCTCTTTAATTATTGTTCCACACATCTTCTAATGGGCTCTTTATAGACCATGTTTTACTCTGTTTTTTATTTTTATTATTATTTTTTTTTAAATCCTAACATTTCTCAATGAATCAATATTTCCTCCTCTTGTTTTTTTTTTTATTATTATTTTTTTTTTTTTTGTTCATCTCTCTACAAACTACCTCTCTTGTGACATTAATCATTACTGATTCACATACTCAACCCACTTTTCCTTGAGTGTTGTACTTCAATATATGACTATTATCTTAGCTACAGCCTGAATGAATCTGTCTTAAACTTCCTCATCATTAATCAGATTTGCTCAAACATGCTAAATCTAGATAAAGAATTAGCAGATGGTCTGATTCAGTAATTGTAAAAAATTGGTCCAATTCCGTATTATTTCCTCAGCGGTGATCAATAAGTAGTAATAATGAGTACATGAACAATTTGACTATTTACTCCAAATTGCTTTCATGAATCAAGGATTATTTTCTTATGAGGAAAACACTTAGTCTGTATAATGTAGCAAAATCTATCAGTCATTCTTCATACTAACCACTTCATTTCTCATATGAAGACCATATTGTAGTATTAAGGTAAATTAAAATATATGATAATAATATGGTCAATTATATTAGTGTCAATAGGTACCCCAAATTGGTGATATGCAATATTTATTTTAAAAGGCTTCTTGTCGACTGAGGATGGGGTCATTCCTGGTAATATGGGACTTAAGGATCAGGTCGCTGCTCTCCGCTGGGTACAGAATAACATTGCATATTTTGGTGGTGATCCAACACAAGTCACTATTAGTGGAACATCTGCAGGAGCATCTAGTGTCCATTTCCACTTCTTATCGAGGATGTCTAGAGGTTTGACTTTTAATCTGTTTGGTCAATATTTGTCATGTTTGAGAGGTATATAAGTATTAAACATAGTTTATTACAAATGAGTATTTAGGCCTTTACACCAGGGGGATATGCATGAGTGGGACATCATTAATGCCTAGCGCATTGCAGAAAGCTCCTCTTTTCAAAGCTACAACAGTCGGAAAGCTGATGAACTGTTCTTTCACTAACACACAACAGCTAGCTAATTGTTTAATTAGAGCACCAGGTTCCGAACTAGTAGCCCAAGAATCTGTGTTTTATGTGAGTAAAGATTATCATTTAATTTTATTTTTATTTTTTTAATTTGTCAAACAAGTATTAAAAAATTAACCTATCTATATATTCACATAAAATAAAAACATATAATAAAAAATAAATTAGTTCATTATGTTTAAGAAATTTTGTAGCTAACAGCTAATCACATTTCTTTTTTTCCTTTTTAGAAATTTTATGGTACACCGATTGGGCCATTTGGGCCTGTAGTTGAAAGAGGAGGTCAAAGTCCATTTTTGACACAATTACCTTATGAAACGTTGAGGACAGGAGAAGTGAACAATGGTCCGATGCTGTTTAGTATAGTGACCCATGAAGGAATCTTTCCAGCAGCAGGTCAGTTGCTTCTAAGGCTGTGGTCGCATTGGAATAGAGAATCTGACCCCAACGCCTTATAGTGGTTTCACTGATATAAAGTCTAATGTCTTATTGTAATTTATTAAATTCTACAATAGATAATAAAATTAGAATTAAATTAATTCATAAAAATTATATTCATATAAATATTGCTTGTGTAGAAATATATTAAATTCTAAATAATAAACAAAATTATAAAGAACTAAAAATTAACACATATTCGCCTGCATAACAAAAATTCGACATTTCACAATGACCAACAGCCAAATGGCATAAATTTGCCATTTGTATATTAAAGAAAATAATTGATTCTTGTATGTTTGTTGGGGCTTCAAGGCGTAAAACTTCAAGGTCATCAATGCCTGTAAATTACTTATCTCTTACCTAAATTTAATTGATTCTTGTTCTTTTAACTCTAAATAAATTAAACTCAAATTTTAACCAAACAGAGATACAAAGATGGAGGCATTTTTTGAAGGGCGGTGCAAAAACTTACAGGACGGATACGTATTAAAATTAATATAGACATTTCTCCATTTACACTCATGTATCAAGAATTGAATATCCTATTTACCATTAATTTATGTGTTTCAAATTGTAGCTTCCTCTAATTCTAATATCCCATCAACTTACATGAAAAGAATCAACTGTGTAATTCAAGATAATTGATGTCCTTCTAATACATACTTAATATAATAACATTAAAACCATTTAGTGTTTGAGCATGATTCAGTGAAAAATAAATAATATTGAAAAAACTGGTCCAGTTTATTGTTACACCATTAAAATATCTCTTATCCATTGTGATCAAAATTAAAATTTAAAAATCAATTTTGAGACTATTCCCTAATGGAACTTACCACATTTGTAAACAATGTTAAAGGATATATCTAGAGATGAAACATTTTCTTTTTTTTTTTTGTACTCACGTCCAACTAAAGTTACAAGAAATGTTAGTCCAACTGAAAATGTAAAATGAATAAGATGTGAAAAACCTGTGCTTTTATTGAATGCCATTTATATGGCCTTATACTTGTGAGCTACAGAAATCCTGTTAACATTTAATTCTTTATAAGTATGTGTAGTTTTTGGTAATTAGGCAATGTGTTTTTTAATTCAATAATAAAATGTTACTCTTTTCCATAAAATTACTGCTTTGTTCTTCAAACTACTTTGAAACAAATCAATTTTTCATGATAATTTCTGATCGTTTTTCTTCCTGAGCGCTAATGTATGGTTTTATTTTATTTTATGATTTTTAGAGTTTCTAGCAAATGAAACTGGACTAAATTACCTCAATGACAACTATCTGGAAGCATTTCCTTCTTTGTTGGACTACGGCTTCACAGTGACCACTGACAATATGAACGAAACAAGCATGAAGATCAGAGAATATTACTTTGGAGAAGAACCTATATCAATGGAATACAACCAAACAATAATCCAAGTAATCCTAAAGACATTATTAGAAAAATAAATTTGAATATTGATTGTATAAATTCTAAATGGTCTTAGACCATTTTCTGCAACTCCTTCATACTAAAATAAAAACACAGGCTTTACTCGCTGCACTATCTCATCCATGCTGATCCATTAGCCAATTAATCCTCAATTTTGTTTTTGAAATTGAAGTATATAATGGATGCCACCTTTTTTATACAACCCATTTTTATGACAAAAAACTAATAAAATTTCATAAGAAAATTATCTTTCCTTTTTTTTCCAGCAAAAGAATATTTATTTTATTTTATAAAAGGAGATTAGTTATATATATTACTAATACACTCTAAAATAATTTATATCTTTATGTATTTTACAGGTATAATAATTTATTTGAACAATTAAAAACAAATAAATATTGATCAGCATTATGCAGTCTGTTAAAAAATATTCATCTAGAAATATTGACCAATCAAACAATTAATAACAGTTCTGATAAAAATAAAAAGCAGAAATCTTCTATTGCAGATGGCTGGAGATAGAACAATCACAGATGATGTAGAAACAACAGCGAGGTTACAGGCATATGTAAGGTCATCTCCCATATATTTTTACCGCTTCGGTTATAGAGGACAAAACAGTCTTTCAAATATAGTTAGCGGTACTGATATAAATTGGGGTAAGATTTAATATAAAATGGAAATACTTTTTAATATCATTGAGAGGAAAATATAATAACTTTAATTTAATGTTCAAAATGTAGGGCAAACATTTTAATATTTAGTCGGTTAATATAATTTGCATAATCACAGTGTATTATTTATAGAAATTTTAAAATAGTTCTAGAAATAAGCTAAGCCACAAATATCATAGATAATAAAAAAATTGCAATGACAAACAGGTTTTAAAAAGAAAATGTTTATTATACATATGATAAAAACAGAGCAACCATGTTAGCAATTTTATAAGTAAAGCTAACAAAATTTTTTCCTATTTTCAAATAGAAAATTCTGTTTCCTTTTAAATTTATTTTTTAGTATGTTCAAAATGTTTAATTTTTTACATTTATAATGCACTTGTTTCATGAAATTCTTTCTTTTATATTTCATTACTATCATTTTTATTTGTAAAATAAAATTATCTAGTCTCTTTAATTTATTTGAAGAAATAAACATGAAATGTAAAAATATTTTTAACTAGATTTCAAATAACATTTTAATTTTTTTTGTGGCCTAATGCATTGCGGCCAAAACAGGCCTATTGTGTACCTCACTCTAATCAATATGATCAACTTACAGAAATTTAAATAAAATTACCACATTATTAAACAAAACTCAAGGTAAAATATTAATCTCTAAAATATATATGTATAGAAAATTATATGTATTAAATGTCCTATGACTCTAGGTGTTTCTCATGGTGATGATACACTTTACATATTCAATGCTACATACTTACTCTCAGAATCTACGCCATCTGATCGTGCGATGATCAATATAATGAGTGGAATGTGGGCCAACTTTACGATCACTGGGTAATATATATTTTTTTGTTCTAATATTCATACAGTAAATATGAAATAACTCTATTCCAACATGTTACTTGCAGGATTCCAAGTGTAGGAAGAAGTACTAAATGGCTTCCAATAAACAGAGCCACTGCCATGACGGGTCCATACAATTATTTAATGATTTATTCTCCTAATTCGTTTTCGCTCAACAGCACAAAAACACAAGGTAATCCAGTATTTTGGAATAATCTTCCTATAAATGAACCAGGCTCAGGTAGGCCAGTCAACAGTTTTTTATAATTTAATAAAAAAAAAAAAAATAAGAGGTTTGTGTTAATTATTGCACCATTATCCTATAAATCTCCTCTATTGCATTACAATTTTTTATAATTGTAACAAAACAGATGTAATATGGTTTAAAATGGTTGGTAACTAGAACTTGAATAGATAAAAAATTGCATAAATTTGAGCTGAAATCAAATTCGAGGGATAAAAAACATATATAAGATTCAGATAGCACTGTTGAGTCAATAAAAGAAAAAAAAAGTTCATTTAGCTAAAAACTTTAAATTACATTGGGTCTCAGAAGTGTAGAGGAGACTGGGAGTGACCAGAGTCATCCGTAGCCTGATGTATGCGGCTAACAAACATGATGCTGTCAAAGCATCTCTCAGCTCTACCTACTGAATATTCATTATTGAGATGGGGCGGCTGAACGGGCTATGTGTGCAAAGCACTGCACATTACCTGACAACCTGATAACCAAAGTTTGGAGACAATAAAATTACAAGTTCGAATCACGGTGCCTGGAGGTCTTTTCAATTCCCCGCCCTCACTCCCTGGTCCGGGAAAATCCATGTAAAAGGTGAGATAGGGGAGAAGCAGAAAAATATATATATATATTCATTTATTACAACTCCTAAGATTCTGTGATTCTATTCCTCAAAAAACTTGACAGCTCCTTGTAACCTCCCTCGTTTTTCTCCCACTTCAACTAAGGTTTCTTGGTCTATAAAGGGGTGTCTGCAAGATTAGAGGTGAGATTGAAGAGACTTAGGGATTCCTAAGCGTTCCCATGATTTCTACTGGTACACCGAGTTGAAGTGGATCTTTCGTACTTTCTGACAGCAATTCCTTCTGGGTGTTTTTCTTTTCCAAGTACTCAGAATCAAAAATCCTCCCTACATCTTACTCTATGTTCCTCTATCCACTTTCTTAAAGCCAGATCTCAACCTATTGATTTATATATCCCCTCCCATAAAAATTCTTCCTGCACTACAGAAAATCCTTCCTAATTTCTGCAACCTCCTTTTGGATTCCTTTGGAACTCTTTGCCTGTCTTCTAAGTCAATGCTCATCCAGAAATTCCTTTAAAAAACTACTTCACATTCAAACTTCCGCATCTATGTAAGATTTATTATTAGATTCTGTAGTTACAATAGACCATTAACAGTTAACCGTTAAACAGTTAAAGTGACAGTTGATTTGATTTTTTTGTAATTTTGTATATATATGATTTGTATACTGTATAATTCAATTAACTATATAATTACAATTGCAATTCTCAAATGACAAGCACCTCTTTATATTTCATCAAGTCAAACTAATGGGAATAATTTTTCAAAATCTGCTACTATTCTTAGAGGACTTTAAGAGTAGAATAATTTTTTTTGTTTCATTAGTATAAGCTAATAATTATGAGACAATCAATGGTATGAGCTAGGCGCTGTGAGATTATGACAGAGCTGAGTCTCAAGTCTTGTGATGTAGCTACAATCCCACCACTTTTCTTTAACACTAAGTATCTTACCAAATATGCTTACAGAAATCTGGCACTTTCTGCATTTTCACAGTTATAACCGAATCTTCTTCAACAAATAAAAATTGAAAATTCATGTAAGTACCTAATTTAACGATATTGTTAATGGGATACAGCAAATTCCTATTTAATTTAAATTTACTGATGAAGCAAGCAGCACTGCTGCCATCTCTTGGCAGGCAAGAGAAAAAAAAAAAAGAACAGACATGCAGAGTTCCTGCAAGAATCATGTCTACTTGAGTCTATAGACAGAGCTGGCCAGCCATAATTAAATCTTACAGCCTTTTTAGAAAAGATGGAGTAGAAACTCAAGAGGCTTAGCAAGGAGAGGAGAAGATGAGAGGAAACGGAGAGAAGAATGCAGCAAGTACATAATTAATTCATTTTCAGCCACCACCCACCTAATCCACAGTTAAAATAATTTTTAATAGTCATACCAAATTCATTAATCCACTAACAATTCATTGTAAAAGATCCGGCTTTAATCAATCAAATTATAATACAAATAAATATAGCAATATGTTCAACTCAATAGTTTAATTATATAATGATCAAATACAGTCCAAAACATTCAAATAAATGTACCATCTACAAAAGCAGAATTATTATGCCAATATCCCTGGCAGCTATGGAAGGGATTGGCATAGTAAATTAAACGGATATCGTTAATTGATTAAAATAAATCAGCCAGGCGGAAAAGTCAAGAAACAACTCTGGTAGGCAGCTGACAACACTACACTTTTCATTTTGGGCAAGTAAAAGACAAACTTTGCTTGTCCATTATTTTTAAAATAATAGATAATGCTTTATTGAATTCAGTTTTTATTCTCAATTAATGAATTAATAATTTATTCCCAAATTTTTATTTAAGGTAGAAAAGCTTTAAATTCATGCTGTAGTTTAACAAATTTTCATCTCCAGAATCCAAAATTTCTGCTAGTAGCCTTTTAGAAATTCTGATAAAATACATGATTTGTCTTAATTGATATGATGTAGCATGATACGGGATGTACATAAAGTGGTATGAAGAAATTCTCAACAACAACCTCCAACCAATGTATTTAAGGTAGGAGGAAAATAAGGGGATTACCCTTACTGTAAGGAGGCTAAAAAACTTTTAAAAATCATAAACATGTTTTTTTATAAAACAATTTTTTAATGTAATTTTTATATGCAAACATATAAAAATTAGAATTATTTCAGTCACCTTCAATGTTCTTCTTTTATTACAAATCCTTTGGTTATATTCGTTACAATTAATAAATTAACTTAATTTAAGTAGTTAGATATTACTTACTTATTAAATACCAATAGTGAGTCAATTTTTTATTTCTATATTTGGTTTATTTGAGAAAAAAAAAAGATTGATTTGCAAGTTTGTCCTACAAAAATGCACTCATGAAACTAATCAAAATAATTATACTATATAATTAAGATTTCCATGTAATAGTGGTAAAAAAAAAAAAATTGATTCATATGAAAAGATTAGTTCATAATATATTGGCCAGTTCAAATCTAAAAATTATTTCAAATATTAAAATTACAAAAAAAAAAAAATAAATAAAAGAAAATAATAGTTACTATATCAAAATAGTAGCCACTAAGCATAATTTTAAAATCACAGACATTGAATTAGATTATTTCCTTCTGCACAGAACAAGTTCATTGAAACAAAAAAGTCCACTGTTAGTTCTCATTTTAAAATTAGTTTTTAAAAAACAACTATTCACTCATAATTTAACTAACAACCACTTATATCCTTGTTATTCTTCCTGAACCACCTGGTTTCTCGTGGATCAAATCCTCTCTCACTTGCACCAAAAACGGCCCAATCAGGCGTAGGGCAAACGTAATCCTGAGAAAATTAAAAAAGTTAGAACACAAATACAACATGACAAAACAATAGAAAATAAATAAACTTCATTAATTGTACTGCTAAAAATAACTAAGTGTAATAAGAATAAGGTTTTTACGATACATTTTCATAAAAAAATCAATCTCTACTTTTAAATCTCGAAGCAAAACAAATTGAAAAATTTACGATTGTTATGAAAAGTTTATAAAATAATTTGAAGAACAATATATAAATCACAACAATTCACATTAAAACTACATTCCAGATAAGAAACCAGAAATTTCAGTAAATAAATTACAATTTATGAATCTCAAATTCATTTCTTAACCATTTAAAACTAAAAAATTAGAATTATAGGTAGGGTTTCTTTATGGTTAGAATTACCTAATAAAAATTGCGAATTTAATTAGTAGACTGAATGGCTTATAAATAATTAATTGAAAATTAAAAATACATGTTTTTGACATTGTGAAATACTTTACCAAGGATGAAAATGTTGATTTTCCTTCTGATTTGTAATATTCTTCCATCAGCTGATGGAACTTTTCATAATCAATCCAGGTATTCCATTTGTTTTCAATATAAAACTAAAACAAAAACATAAAAAAGCAATTATTAAGAAAATAATTTAAGAAAATAAGTTAATTTTAATAATTCCATTTTCAGGAAATGGTAGCTCAGTTACTTTAATAATCTGAATAGTAAATGTTCAATTTTTGAGCCCAGTGATTGACACCTGCATAAAATTAAAAAAAAAAAAAAATGGTGCAACTTTTATATTTTGGTTCAAGGTATAGAAGATTAAATGTCGAGAATTCTAGATAAAATATGTATGTATGTAAATCTATGAGTACAATACTGTTTTTAAATATAATGTTTTTCAGAATTTTCTACAACCAAAAAAAATAATAAAATTTACAATCCATATTACAAGCAGAACTATTATGATAGAATAACTACTCCCAAATAACAAAAAAACAAATCAAGAGAAATGTGATTAGTGTTACTGTTCGTACGAGGTACAAAGATTGATGAACATACAAAATTTTTGTTTACTTACTGTTTAGTTATATTTTTATAAATACAATTTACATTTGTTTTACAATTATTTAAATTGTGTTGTTATTCATATTGATATGTTATAAATGTATTTTGTAGTTTTATAGACAAATAAATTGAAATTATATTATAAATTAAACTCATTTAACTTCTTGACCCATAACTTAAAAAAATATGAAAAAAGGTTTTAAAATATATGAATTAAGCTAGTAAGGAAAGCTCTGAACTAATTTTATTTTACAAAAACATGCAATAACATGGAGGATATATTAGAACAAATTTTCAAGAAGCAATGATATGAGGATACATAATGATATCTATGATATCATAGAACAGTTTTTATTATAACAGAGGTTATAATAAAAGAATTAAAGTAAAATGATTAAAAATTTTAATAATTTTAGCTGATGGAGAATTCTTCAATTTGTAGAAGAAAACATTTGTTCATTAGACTTGAAGAATAAAAATTAAGAAAATTGCATTAAGCTACACTGGCGTTATTCACATGAAAGAATAAATTTGTCTAAAGAAATATGACGAAAAATATTCTTCTTTTTAGAATATTTGGTATGGAAAATATATTTTGCAAAAATATTTTTCTTAGGACATATATTTAAATAAAGTAAGAGTATAAAATACAGATAAAATTTCAATAAACTGTACCACTATTTCCGTCGTCTTAAATTAAGAAATATATTATTAGGCTGAGAAGGAATGGCTGAAGACGAACCCTCAGGAAGTTTGAAAACGGGAAAATTTTGTTTCAATGTAATTAGTTTCACTGTATTGTTCTGTTTCATTATATAATTATTTGAATGCATTAGTACTTATATTTATTGTATTTCATTGTATTATATTATTCATTGTACTGTATTAGGGCTGAAAAACGTAATTGTACAAACATATATGTATATTTTTTGTTTTTTATTAATGAGGATATTGCCTTAAAAGAAGTTTAAAATGTGAATTTAAGAAGTTTAAATAGTTAATTTAGTCAACTACTTGCTATAGAGTTTTGTACTTTTGAGCAACAAAATTATTATTATTATTATACATAAACTTATAGCACACCTTTTTATGAGCTAAGAGAATACAATTGGAATGCTCATGCTCAGAGGCAATGCTGTAATCAGGAAGCAGGTCTGCCAACTGTTGTGAAAAAGAAATTACTTCTTCATGCCATGGTACATTTTCCATCGTTAATTTACTAGCCTTTTTGCTATCTCCTCCACAATATGTAACTCCCTAAAAAAACATTAGTTCAATTTTTACTTAATAACAATTTTAAGTTAAAAATGTTGATAGATAATAGTGTAATTAAATGTCTTTTACTTTTATACCTTAATTTCAATGAAATCGGGTTTGCCAAGCTCCACTAGTCCAGCGTAATTTTTCATTTCATCGAAATTCCAAGCTTTGACTAGAGTGAGCCTGTAAACAGTTCTCTGTCCCTGCAATTGTAATTGATACTTAATTAAATATTAAATATAAAAAAATTATTATATAGTTATATAGCAATGAAACAACAAAAAAAGTTATTTTATTATTATTCATGAAATTTACAACTATATAAAAATAAATATACAACCAGTAAATGTGATACAGAAAATACAATAGCATGAAAAGACTTGTAGTGAAACCACCCATTGGTAACACTGTAATTATTTTATTTAAAACCATTATTATTTAGAATGGCAAAAATATTAATTTCAGCAGAATTAAAGGATTTAGAGTGACAAATAATTTCCTAAAGAAAAGCTCTCCAAAATATATGAATAATTTTTATTGAAAATTTATCTTGGTACCACAAAGAGTTTTTAGAGTTAAATTTAATAAATTTTAATCTAGTTAATTTCAAAGGTAACGAAATTTTAAAATGGTGTAAAAAAAAATCTGGTGTGGTGCGCGAATCACACAACTTTCATTTACCACCCTCTTAGCAAAAGTAAGTATTTTTAGACAAAGTGAAGTGAAAGTAAAAATTATAGACTCTATATTTATTTATATTTCATTGTGGATATTTTTATTTGTATAAGTACTCTCATATATACAAATTTTAATATTTATATCACTGTAAACTATACAATCAAAATTAAGTAATATCAACAATAGCATTAATGAAAACCACATATGTATATTTATATAGTATTGTCAGAGTCCGTATTATATCAATCTCATGATACGTATGGAAACGTGTTCTAATCTTTTGGGCGAGCTTGGGTGCACTCGTATTCCTTTGGTTCCTCAATTACAACTATTCTCCGTTACGATCTCTTATTTCTCCATTAGTTATTTATCAAATTCTTTCATATTTTATATTTAACCATTTTTTATATTAAAAATTAATGTGAAATGGTCATTTGTTTCAAATAAAAAATAAATTAAAGGTACTTTAGGGGAAGCTAATATTGAAAATTAGCCATTTAAGCCCTGTTAAAGAACGTCAATCAGAATAATAACCATATTTTATTTGAACTGCTTAATTTTACACTGACATAATGAATTTAATTGGGTTTTGAGATAATCATAAAAATGTGTTTAGTGCATTCTGGTTCCAGGCCACTTCCAGTTAGCCGATTTTGAAGAAAAAGTTGCTGTAACATCCCTAGCAAATAAAAACCTTAAATATGCAATTTCACTTCCGTGCGACTTTTTGTTTTTCAGCTAGACTGTTAACACGCACACAGACCATTTTGCGGGACTTGGTTATTTGGACTCAGGGGACCTCAAAACGTGTATTTCCGTTGAAAACTCAGATTCAAAAATTTTCACGACCGCATATATAGGTAAGTAAAAGTAAAATTAGCATCACAAATGATTCTTAAACAGATTAAAAAAATTTTTTGGAAAAATACAAGATTAAAGATGAATGTCAACTATTTATCAGAATAGATTTTTTGATGATGAAATATTTAGAAATGAAAATAATTTCATTTTTAGAATAGCACATTCTGGTCAATTGGAAAATTGATTACCAACTGTTTTCAGATGTTTGTTAGAAATTTTACTAGCTCAGCATTCCATGTGATTTACACCATAAAGGACCCAACACAGATTAAAAAAAACCAAAGCGGTTGTAGAGTACCCACATCATGTGAAACAGAAAATAGGCAGGTTCATCTTTGAAACATATAGAAGCACCAAATATCAGTCTGGAAACGATACCAATTACTGAATTTGAGTTCTAGTGTAGATCAGGTAGGCAGGAATCATTGTTCTGGAGTATAACATGTTTTCATTTTCCATTATACATATTATAATTATTAACCTACAACTTTCATCAAGCTTTTACTTTTTAGTAAAAAATAAAAAAATGTTTTTAATTTTAGGTAGATGGTTGACTGTCGTGAATAATGAAGAGAAGGATGTTTGGGGTGATCAGTCAGAAATAAAAAGGCAAAAATAAATAATAATATTAATATTAACATTGCCGACTTTCGACCTGAAGTTCAGGCCTTCATCAAGCCTAAGAAAAGAACCAGATAACAAGATATGAGAAACATAAACAATGTAGGTAAAAAAATATTAAAGTAAAATGAAATGGGTAGAATAATGACAATAACAAGAACTAAGAAATAAATAATAATAAGTACCTAAGTACTAAATTGATAATCTTATAATAAAATGTAAAGCAGAGAAAAGGAATATGAAGTTATATAAGAAATAAAAATAAATAGTAAAATTAAGATATTTTAAATAGCATAGTTAGATAGTAAATTGAGATATTGTAAAGTCTATCAAAATGTACTGACTCCACTGTGCATCAATATATACAAAGTGGAGATGGAAGAAAAAAAAAGGAGAAAACTACAAAAAAATAGAAAACCAATGTGTTCAAATAGAGTGGAGATATGGTAACAAAGGAGGGGATCGATGTATTGTTGCGTCATCTCTGACGGTTGACTGACAAAGTTTGAACTAAAGTAACAGAAGCGTAAATAATGGACGAGAGATATATTACTCATAAATATTATGGATAATTAAATGAAAGTTTAATTGAAAGAGGATGGACATAATCTGGAGATAGAATAAAACAGAAAGAATATAACATAATATAATAAAACAGAGATATCTCTCGTCCATTATTTACGCTTTTGGTACTTTAGTTCAAACTTTGTCAGTCAACCATTAGAGATGACGCAACAATACATCGACCCCCTCCCTTGTTACCATATCTCTACTCTATTTGAACAGATTGGTTTTCTATTTTTTTGTAGTTTTCTCCTTTTTTTTTCTTCCATCTCCAATTTGTATGTATTGATGCATAGTGGAGTCAGTACATTTTGATAGACTTTACAATATCTCAATTTTCTATCTAACTATTCTATTTACAATATCTTAATTTTACTATTTATTTTTATGTCTTATATAACTTCATATTCCTTTTCTCTGCTTTACATTTTATTCTAAGATTACCAATTTAGTACTTATGTACTTATTATTATTTATTTCTTAGTTCTTGTTATTGTCATTATTCTACCCACTTCATTTTACTTTAATATTTTTTTACCTACATTGTTTATGTTTCTCATACCTAGTTATCTGGTTCTTTTCTTAGCCCTGATGAAGGCCTGAACTTCAGGTCGATATGTCGGCAAATGTTAAAAAAATATTTTATTTTTATATTGCAAACCAAATTAGAAGAGGTTAAGCTGAGATTAGTAATACATACTTTTTCAGAAAGAGCTTTCAAACTGTCAATGAACCTCTCCCAGAAATCAGAGAACAATGGTCTATCTATTTTCTTCAGAGATTCTTTGGTACTCGCATCAACACTGACATATAATTGAGTTACTGGGTCAAGATTTCTTATTGCATCAGGGAATTGAGCATTTGTAACCATGAAAGTAGATATATGCTAAAAAAAAAAATAATAAGAATTAGAATAAATAAGAACTTGTTATGGTGAATCATTTTTTCACAAGTTATTTATTCACATAAATTAAGTTAAATAAAAATCTTCCATAATGTAGAAATTGGACTCATGAAACCTTATAGTGTATATTTCAAATATAAATTTGAATTTCAATGTTTTCACAATTACAAAAAGAATTCATCATACTTTCTAAATTGCATAGGAAAAAAAGAGTAAAGAAAAAAGGTAATTAAATTAAGTTTTATCTGTGGAATTTATTTCATTTAGTTAGAATAATAATCAATTCACTCATTTATTACAAATATCATTTCAACTAAGAATAAATAAACATAATGGATACATGAATGGTGAAATGATAAATTTAAAAAAAAATTTAATTTTCATATCTATTCAAAAGAGATGATTTAAGTTTTCCGCATCTGTTTATATTTGGATTGATTATACATTATTTTCAACAATTGCTGGCAGAGACTCCAGAAAGTATTGTAAATGTTACTTCAACTGTATTTATTACTAAAAATGGACCATAAGAAAACCTACCTTCTCATGAAGGAGAGATACCAATTTATTTATCTCTGGATACATTATTGGTTCACCAACTAATGAGAGGGCACAATGACGAGCAGAAAGGCCTTCCTCGAACTTCTCTTTTATAACACCTGGAACACCTAAAAAACAAAATATTATCAACTAAAAATGTATAATCAGAGTAGTAAAAAAATAGTGTAGAACATTATTTTAATATTAAAAAGCTTCCATATAAAGTAATGATCAAAATTTTAAAATGCAAGTCTTTTTTTTTTCTTCTGGTACTACAGACCAAAGTGGTCCTTGGCTTGCTTTAACATCTGTTGCCACAATGTTCTACCCTCCACCACCGGGACTCCTGATTGTCGCATATCCAAGAGGAAGACCACCTTCTCCTTCCATCATGCCCTTGGTCGTCCCTTAGATCTAGTGGCATCTTCATTTATTGACATACATGGCCATACCATTTCAGCCTACGCATTCTTATCACATTTGGCACGTCGAAGATTGTTGTAAAGATCATAAATCTCTCTATTTTTCCTACTTTACCGCGTCCCATTCTAATAGACACTACCAAACATTCCTCACAGTATCCTCCTTTTAAACATCAAACCTGTCATGTATGTTATTATTTAATGTCCATGTTTCTCTTCCATACGTAACCACAGGTCTGATCAGGGTTTTATATACATGAATTTTAACTTTGCGAGAGATAATGTTACTCTTTACTACGTGCCGAAGTGCAAAATAAGCTCTAGTTCCTACTAGGATCCTTTTTTAAAATTCTTCTGATTCATTTGTCATTAAAAATCCTAGGTATAGGAAAGCCGACACTAATTTTTAGTTTTCTCTGGCAATTTCATAGCTTGGTGGATGCTGTCATCAGATTTTTTCAATGACCATTAGCTTTGTTTTTTCAACCTTTATTCAATTAATCATTTTTTTTTTTTTTTTTTTAGGGTCTGAATTAACTTTCATTGTTGCAGTACAAACAACAGAATAATGATTTGTCAGAAATCTATAGATGATAGCCATGTCACAATTCGCTACGTAGCATAGGCTTCAATGAGCCATAACTATGAATAGAAAACTCAGGCAACTACTGTACATCTTTTATGCATTAAAAATCAGCAGTAAAAATTAATAATTTATATCAAAAACATATCAAAATAATAACAAACCTTTGAACTGCTTGATCATCTTGTAATGATTTTCCAGAGCACCTTCTACAATTGATTTAGCATCATCCATTTTCCATTTCCACTCTGTACCAACTGGATTTGAATGGTGACGCCAACAGAAGACACATTTATTAGCACAAGCAAGACTAGGTGTTGCTTCCATACATCTGTGGCTCTCAATCCCATAAAATGTATGTTTATAGCAGCCCCCTCTTCCCCTCAACATTGCCTAGAAATAAAAGATATCTTAATCTTATATATGAAATAATACTTGTCAACTATTGCCTGTTAACAAATAAAATGACAAAACTGATTTGTCATATCTGTTCTGTCTGTTTCTATCTGTTGTCTGATTTAACAATCTGTTCATTGTTATATAAAGCTCTAAGAAAGTTATAAGAAAAAAAAAATATCAATCTACCACTCTCCATCATAAAATAAAATAGTAGAAGTTTGAAAACCTAAATATTTTTCAGATTTTCATAGAAAACGTCTAAGTCAATTAACACCAAACTTCTTATTAATAACTGTCAAACAAAAGCTTATGATTGGTGAAACTTATTAAATCAAGTTTTGAAACATGTACTTTACACGAAAAAAAGTCAAAATTATAATCTTCAAAAACGTATAGGTACCAGTCTAAACAAACTGGAGTTTTTATAGTTAAAATAAAAAAATATTAAATTAGAAAAAATTGTAATAATTAATCAGAACAAAACATATCCACCAAGCCTTGAATAGCAACAAACATTAACTAACAAAAGAAATTCATCCAGTAGAAAAATCATTATTTTAAAAATCATAATTTCCAAAAGAAACATGGTTTTCTTGAAATATTTATTATCTAGTTGACAAGTGTCACATCCAGATGACCTGTGGGGGTAAGATCACTTTGATCACAATCTACATAGATTTCCAGAAATCGCTTAGTGTGTCCGATAATAGCACCTTGCAATAACACCAATGTTTACATTAGGTTAGACTACATTTCATTTATTTTTATCATTTGATATCAAATTTTTACTTTAATTCTACTCCAACGACAATCAATTTAATGATATAAAACATATTTAAATATTAATGTATTCAGAGATTAACAGACTCAAAGCTAACAGATATCAACAATTCACTTACCGCTATTTTTTAAATTAAAACTACTGGACTAATTTTATATTCAAATGATGTAGATGTTAGGAAGCTCATACCTTAGTCCAACGACAAAGCTTAACACCAGAATGTGATCCTATAAGTTTGTAACCTTGCTTCGTTAAAACTTGTCTCAAAGGAGGTGTTATCATCTCCTTTACTCCATTTGGAACATTTTTATCAGCTGAACTTTTTGCAGGTTTAACTAAGTCTTCAACATCCATCAGTTCATCCTCTTCTTCATCACTGCTTTCAATCAGGGTCTAAAATTCAAATAAGGAATTTATACAACAAAACATTATAGTTATGGAACAATATTTATAATACACATTCAGAAGCACTAATAAGATAGGATAAAATGTTTCTAACACTCTGAGATGAATTTAATGGGGCTATTGGCAGTTCTATAGCATTTAACAATGATTTCGACCAAAACAAAAAGTCTTCATCTAATCCTCCATGTTTGCTATTTGAACTGTTTTCATCACCGAGGTAAACAGGTAGTATCCTCTGAAGTCCCAACTTTTCCAGATCTGAATCAAGATTAACAGCAACCTTTAAATAAATAAAATAAATAGGTAAAATTTATCAAAACTTGAATAATTCAATAATTTTAAAACTTACAGTGTTAAAGTAGCCATCATAAGCCGAATTGCCAGATCCGAATACTGAATATCGAAGATGGGAAAAACTATTTTTATCGATCCTAAAGTCAGTTGAGGCTTCACTAAGCCATTTGCAGAACCATGTCGCATTGTCAGGAGGAAGACCTTCATTAACAGTAGGAATAACAAAGACTAAGGCAGCTTCCTTCTGTTTTTCAACCACAAATACTTCTTCAGGGTCCAATGATGATAGTTCAACAACTGAACATGGAACTTTTTCACGAACAAGGTCATTTAATATTTTAACAAGTTCCTGGAAAAAAATTTATAAAAGCACACCATTATTTTTCCTTGCATAGGTAGAATTATTTTCAATAATTTTGTCTTATAAAGGAAGAAGAGTCTGAATAGTTTCATTTACTATCATCGTAATATATTTATACACATATATGATTACCTCTGTATGCCCGAATTGTGTAGCATAGAAAACCTTCACAAACTTTACTTCATTTTCAATGTTGGAACTTTGAGAGACATTCTTAATATCTACACTTTCATTCACCCGTTTATCATTACTTTCGCGGATGTTATCATCAAAATTCTGTAAATTGCTATTCTCATTTGAAGATCTAGAAAAGGGTGATTTATTTTTAGGCCTGAATTCTTCCTGATTTAGTCTATATGTCCTGAAATAACGGAATATTAACATAGAAATGAAGCCCACCGAAAAGGTAAAAACCAAATTTTCGATTGTCAACAGAGAATGGCCAACATCAAGCTTAATCATTATAATTATTTTAATTTAAAAACAAAAAACTGACTAAAACCTGCAAGAACGAAACCTTCTAGCACGTGATCATACACAACAGAAAATACCATTTTATTTTTCACAGTCAAAATTTGAACAATGAATTCTTCAATAATTGAAGAATTACTGAAAAGTTTTAAATTACAGGCTTTGCTCTGTTTTAAAGAAAGGTAAGAAATAAAATATGTTGGGATGGAGGGAATACGTTTTTGCGCCATCGACTTTGGGGGGGGAGCCACCTCTGTGTCTTCCTGTATAATTTTTATTCTTCTGCGACCGGTTTCCCTCATTAGACCTTAATAAGACTGATTTGCGATGGTCCTATTCTCTTGCTTGCTTGTTTTATGAAGAACAACAGTTTTTATTATTTAAAAAATATAGATAAGATTTCTAGAGATTCGAAATTTATCGCCTATTAGTAAAATTGCAAATATCTTATACCTATTTCTGTCATAAACATTGTTACAAGGAAATATGCACAGATTTCAATAGAAAAATTAAATTTTTTAAACTTTAATAGAAAATAAAATGTATATCTATAGAGAGTAAAACAAAAAATAAATGACTCAAAATGTCCCCCTTTTGCCTTGACACAGGCATTTAATCTCCGTGTAAGAATATCCAATCATCAACTGCAGCATGCAGCACTTCTTGAGGAAAGCTCAATTACTCGGAACAGAGATTGTTTGAGGCTTTCTAAGTTTGGGTGTACTCTGTGGCATGTCATCCTCCCCAGTTAAGACCAAAATCGATTATTTAGTGGATTGAGATAAGGGCTTCTTCAGGGCCAATCCGCGGCAGAGTTGAACTCTGGAATGTTCTTTTGCAGCCACTGCGGAGTTACCCAATTACTTCAAGCAAACAGAGTATCATTTACAGACTTGACAACAAGTTCCAAAATATCGTCCTGATAGTTTTAGCGGCTGTTTTAACTCCTTTTTCTCATAAATGGAGCTTTGTGGAGCCATCAAAGCAAACTCAACACCAAACCGTCACTGAGGAAGGGTGATGACCTCTTTCCATTCTTCCAATGACTTCCTGAGCTTCTTTAGAGCTGTGTGCGTACACACGATCATTTTGGTGATTAAATTTGTCTTCAATGTAAAAATTTTCTCATCACTAAACAAAATCTTTCAATGAAGAACATTGGTGTAACGGCCAAAGAGCACTTTGCATCTATCCAGTCTATTTTTTTTAGGGAAGTGGTTAGTCTTTGTCCTGTCATTCTTCGAAATGCATCCATCCTAAGATCATTTTTTATTTTGGGAGACATTGATTTGACAGAGATTCCCATTTCTCGAGACATGATTTGTTGTTTTCGAATGGGATCTCTTCTGATTCGAGCAGTCACTGCTCTCATTGCATTCGCCGTTCTCACAGTTCGGGGATGGCCTGGTCGATGTATGTCAAAACATATAGGGTCTCATTACATCTATTTATGATGCGGTACACGAACATATCTATAGGTTTCAAAGTATTGAAAATCTCTAACCTACATTTTCCAACTTTGTGTAAGACGATCACAGCTATTCTTTATCACCCAACTCCATGTTAAATGAACGAAAGAAAAATACAAACTAATTGGGATTATTATCCTGACATGTGAAGAAAATAACCTGATAGAGGTAAGGATTATCTAAATAATACCCACGGATGTAAACAAAGTTCAACTTTTGTTTACATTTTTTATACTTTTAACAAAGTGGTAGACAAATTTGTAAACTTTCAAGCTGCATTTAGACATTTCACAAACTACGGGAGACCCAATCATATAATTTAATTATGTTTTGTTGTGTTAATTAATATAATTTTGATATTAGCGCTAAGTCCAACTTAAGCCGAAATTAGGGAAAATACATTTAAGGATCGGTGTTTCAAATAGTTTATGAAATTTCTAAACGCACCAAGAAGAGACCAGTTCATAATTTAATTTTGATGAAGCCAAAACATGTATCTAAGTAAGCTAATTAGTTAAAAAGTGTTTTGTCATCAATGTTTCTTCTGCAAATTTTAAGGGCATACCTTATAAGTCCAGGGGTGCCCATCCCCTCCAAGATCAATGGCACAAAAACCTTCCCCCACCCTTTTCAAAATATTTTGTTGCTCTCCTCTTCTTAAACACAGTACAAGGGAAAGGAATATTTAAAATATCGTAGGTTATATAGAATTATAAATCCTACAGACAGCTCCATACTTGTCATTGTCGTTTGATTTGAAACTTTCCATTTCGAATGTTTATAATTCCCTCAAAATGGGCACCCCTAAAAAATTCCAAATCCCATCAAAATGTGCTCTCCTCGAAAATTCTGATGGCGCAACTCGCGCAACCCCTGAAAAAGTCCTCGTACAGGCAAATTGGATCACACTACAAGCGATGAGTATCCACCGTGGCTGAAGCGCTAGCGGATCAAAAGAATGGGGGACTTTCGGGTTGAAGCTCCCCTCCCCCCAAAAGGGAAAAATATTTTTTTTTTTCATTGTTCCATATTTGTTTATGTGATTACTTAATATTTATACAATATTAAGTAATATTTAATAATTATTAACAAGTAATACTTAAACAATCACAATATATTCCATTTTTCAATTATAATGGATGTACAACTACTAATTGTAAGTACGTATCAAGACAAAATATAATAAATTAATCTCTAAAAGTATTTTAAAAAACTAAACCCCTCGCCTCCAAAAAAATAAATCTTAGATTTAAAAAAAAAATTTTCGCGATCCTCCAACCATCTTTCCATGATCTTTCGAATTGATTAACGCTTTCTAAATTGATATGGTATAAGATTTTTAATTTGATTTCACAAAAGTTTAAAATAATTAGTGGGAAATATTTCTGAATATTACCAAAGGACAGAGTTTTGTTTACTTATAATTTGTATAATATTTTATCAATCATAAAAGGAAAATTTCGAGTATACTTAAAATTATTACTAGTTATATTATATCATTTAAATAATTAATTAAATTTGAAGAATTAATACTTTATTAAAATTTAGTACACTTATATTTGCTATAGCCACGCCTTGTATGAAATATAGTTAACAATGTAATTATTAAACATTATAGGATACAATACAAACCTGTAATATAACATATGTAATATGAAAAGTAGTTATTTTTTTAAAGTCAAATTTTAAAATATTACTTTAATTTCACAAATTGGTAATTTTTAAGAATCGGGTATCTTTCTTTTCTGGGCAAATTTTAAATGCTGTTTGGATCTAATATAAATAGTTATAAAAATACATATATATATATATATATATATATATATATATATATATATATATATATATATATATATATATATATATATATAACTGCTAAAGAAAACTAAAATATTAGGTATCCCTAAAATAAATGATCAAGTTTTTACGAATATGCTCAAATATACAATAATTATTGCCGTTTTAGTATATAATTTTATAAGCATACAAACTGTGAACAACTATTTTCACATAATTAATGATATTTTACTATCGGAACAATAAATATAAAATTACTAGAAATACTAAACTAACGATAATTTTCTTTTACGTACAATTATTTTACTCTATAAAAAAAAATTATTTATATAAAACAAAAAAAAATCTTAACAATAAAATGTAAAAGGACACAGCCTAGGATAAAAGTAATAAAAAAGCATAATACAACACAATATTATTGGGCTCAAATGGCGTAAGTAATTTAGCTATTGAGTTCGTTATCTTTCAAGTTTTTAAATTAAGAAATCGCAACTCATATTTAAAAACTTTTATTGAAAACAAATCTAGATAATAAATCAAAAGCATATTTGGGTTGATCGCTTGGCACCATATGCCCAGCGTCCCTCACTAACACTTCGGTGAACCCTTTCACTGTCTTAGTGTAACCCGCGAGCTCTCCACCGACAAACCATTCCTTTCGAGGGGCGACTTTGTAAAGATCTGAGCCACTCCAGGACAAATGATTGAGGAAGTTGACAGTGAGGGGGTAGGCACATATGATGTCCAGCTGCCCGTTGTAGAAGAGTACTCGATAGTTCTCTAGAAGAACTTCCACCCAAGGCTTCACCGATTTCCCGATGTCATCGAACAAGTGTCTTGCACTAACTTCACCCCCAAGATAGGTCTTATTTCCGACATGTATCCTGTTTCTGATCTGGTCACTGAGGAGGAAAGTGGAATAATCACAGGATTCACTTTCATCTCCAACATTGAGGTAGTTGTAGTAGGCTGAGAATCCTGTGATGTTCGTAAAGAATGATGGATAAGGAGTATATACAGTAAGAATCAAAGAATCTATTACTTTAGTTGCAGATGTATAATCTCCCTTTTGGATGTACCAACGAGTTTCGTTTTCTTTTTCGTGGAATGCATCTCTGGCATTCTTATCAATCAGACCGATTTGGTACAGATAATCGCCATATAACAACATGTTTTCTGGATCCGTCCATCCGTCTCCGATTGCTATCCCCTTCATATTGATTTTGCGAGTATTGTTTTTATTAGCAGTGTGAATTGCAAATGCTACTGCTGGTACATACTTGCCGGCGTAGGATTCACCAGTGACGAAGAAATCATTTTTTCTCAGATGTGGAAATAATGTAAAAAACTGTTCTAATGTGGAATGCAGATCTTTTCCAACTTCAACCTGATTATTCGGATATCCCTGTTCATCTTCAGTGAAACTGAATCCTGTGCCGACTGGATTGTCTATATATATCACATTGAATAGATTTGACCAAGCGTACTTAGAAATTTGCATCCTACCATTCTTGTCTGGGGTTATTGGTCCATTTTCACAAAATAGTCCGAAAAGTGAAGAACTTCCAGGCCCTCCTTGCAGCCATAGAACAACTGGAGCATTTTTTGGATCAATTTCTGATTGGATATACCAGAAAAATATGTTTGAGTTATACCTTTTGTTGACAGTCATATATCCGGCAAAGCTTGTGAAATTGAAATTCGGAAGATGCACCTCTGCAGCAGTCTGGCCCTCTAGTATCATTCCAGCCTCGATGAAAGGCGTAAGGAAAAGTGGGTTTCCAGCAGCTTCAGGGTCTGGAACATTTTGGAAATGAATTGAAGTCCTTCTGAAACAGAAGCTACAGCTTAGGCTGAGACCAAATATAAAAAGAAACAGCACGTATCTCATTTCGTCGTGCACTAAGGGCTTTAGAAATGGAAGAGTATTTATGCGCTGCTGCTATGCTGGTGGCATCATATGATAAGATCAATTTTGTTTACCGTCTGTTTTAAAAGATAAAGATCTTGTGCACTTGTTTGAGATGGAGTATTAGATTGATCGGTTTAATTGACCATTGAAATATAGGTCATCAATCATCCATTGTCGGAAATACAAAGTAAATATTATTACTGTCTGCTCTTAATTGATAATATTTGCCTTTATTTTTTTTTTATTTTAAAGAATTACAAACATATTGCAGTAGACGAATTGTCTTATTTCATGCAACACACTGACAATGCGATAAAAAAAAAACTTAGGACCTGTTGATAATGAAACAATAAATGAACATTACTAGCACTGGCAGATCCACAGGGTGACTTTCTGGCTGAATCTCTCCTCCCCTCTACCCGCCTAAAAATATACTTTTTTTTCATTGGTCCGTATATGTTTTTGAGTAGTGTTGCCAAAATCAAGACCAAGACGAGACCGAGTCAGCCTTGCTTTTGGTCTTGCGTCAAACCTTGATCTTTTTCTTGTCCAAGAGTCTTATAGTTACCTATTAGCTTATTGCTATTTATAATAATAATAATAGTGGTCTTATATCGATTGAGGACTCTTGCCGAAAACAAGAAAACTCTGTAAAGGAGTACTTTATGACAAATGCGTCTCCAATCATCACCTGGATGAAAGAATTAGATGAAGGTTACTGCCCTGAATTTTGGCGAGTTGATTCGACCGAAAGGGAGTAATGTCGATTATATAAAACCATATCCTCTAAAGTATCTTTAATTTGGTTTATTTTAAATAATTAACTATCACTCATTATTTTTTTACGTTCATCTACTTTCCCTTGGGTGTTTTTTTTTTTCCGGGATGTGGATGCTATTCCAAAAATCTGAGAAAGCTAAGCAAATAAAAATATAATAATACTGCTTAGTGAGCCCGAAGGTTCGATGCCGATACAACCAATCGATGTCTGCATTCTTCCATCCACCTGGCTCTGTCTACAACCAACTACTTCAGACCAGACTTAGCACAACGTTTTTCACCTTCGCTTAGCCTACTCCTTGGACGCAAGCCAGTCAGCACGGCGCATATTATCTTTTTAGGAATGCTTTCATTACTAAGCCCAGCGATTTTAAATACCCATTGTATTCGTCTCAACTTAATCATCTCAATTATATTAACCGGATACAGTTAGGGCAATTCAGCGTTGTGTAATCGCCTACATTCTCCGGTTGACTCATCCTTCTCTGGTCCTAATATTTTACGCAATACTTTATTTTCGAAAACATTAAGACGTTGCTTATCCCTTAACGTAAGCCGCCATTTTTCGCATCGATGAACCTCTCAAAATTTGAGCTTATACCAATATTCTAAAGATATATTGTCGTTACGACCTTATTTTATCGAGGTTCATAAAGTTTAGTTTGTAATATTATTTTGATGGCGAATAAATGCGTTAATCAATCGACAAGGGATCGACATGAACATAAATTTGAGAAAGATCAATATATCCGAACAGAGATCGGCCTCAAAACCATATTTCATCAAGATAATTTAATGGTAAATTTTTACCATCTTTTAGGACCGATATTTCGGCCTTTCGATTTTAATTTATCATAATTGATAAACTATTATAATTTATGATTATTTTATCATGATTTATATATACATAAATATAAATTTCAGCAAACATAGATATATATATCGTCCTTACGATCTTATTTTAGTTTGATTAATTGAGTTTCCTTAGAAATATTGTTTATATTGATAATAAAAGAGTCAATCAGTCCATATTTAGTGATAACCTAGATATCACCTATGGTATCCATTAAGAAATGACTAACTGTACTAGAATTATTTCAAAATTCTAGAGTAATTCAGAAGGAAAATTATACAGTTGTTTCTGAGGAATTTTCCCAAAACCTTCCTGGGCCAATAAAACAATAAAATGACAGAATGAGCATAAGAGAAAAAACATTTCCTGTTGCATCAAAACTAATATCAAAAAGATTGTAACTAATATTTAATGCTGTATAATCAAATGAACAGATACCAAAAATTTTCATGAATACAGACTGGATTTCCATGTTTTCACTTGTTTGTAAAAACTCCAAGCCTGAGTATCTATCCATTTCAGGATCTGTTGAATAACATATTTAAATTTTATATTGCACAAAATTACATTTCCCCGCTCCTGGTTAAAATGGCACAATTTTAAATTCGTTTGCATTGAATTGCACATGTTTTCAATTTTTGTGATAAATTAAATTATTTACATATAAAAATGTATATGTATGAGTTAATATATGTTTTTTTTATTTTACTATATTGTAGAAATTAAATTTATAATTCAAGATAAAAAATAATTCTGTGACAAGCAAAGATCAAAATTAATATTACAAAAGATTGTTATTGCTATTAAAACTAACTATTGATAACAACGAATTTCTGCCTTCCTAGAAAAAGCTGTTTTGTTAGAAAGACATTTTTGTTATCCTTTTGACTAGGAATTCTCAATCATTCAAGATATTCAATTCAAATAATTTAAAATACTCCTCGTTGAAATTTGATTAAAAAGTTGTCTTCTATATGCCTTGTGAAAAATCACATGGGTGTGGCAGAAAATCACAAATCACTGATTCATTGTAGAACAGGTAAGAAAAAAAAATCTTATTAAAGAATTGAATTTTTTTTTTTTTTTTGAAGTGGCAATCCCCCAAAATATTTTTTTTTACTAATTTAGAGAAATCTTTTAACACTAATATTTAAATGCTTGAAAACCTCATACATTACAGTTTCTTGAAAATTCTTTAAATTTTAATAAAACATTTTGAAGTGTATCATACTGGAAATTATAACTCGATTAAAAAATTGATTCCATTTATTCTTGATCTTATCCCAGACAAAGTCTCCAAATTTCATCAGAACCTTACCCATCACCCTAATCCCATAGCACAATCCCTATCTAGCACCACTCATCCCTACAATCCTCCTCGCAGGCTAAAACGGTAGTGGCCCCGTGACCTTTTGTAACTTGTATATATTGGAGTTCTGGAAATGGCCAGATTCTCCACTCAAGTCATGAGTGTCCGTGGTTGTAGCGCCCTTACTCAATCTCCGCTGGCTTTTAATTGCAGTGAAATGGTTGAGGAAGAAGCGCAGGTATCTCCTGAAGCCTTGCTTTCCCTTCACATGTGGAGGGATAAGTATGGTTCAGAGTTCCCATGGCCGACTGTAAATAGTATAAATAGGTATGCCTGCATCTAAGATGTTTATTTTCATTACTTTTTTTAAAGATAATTTTAATTCTATTTTATTCATTTATTTTCATTCTATTATTACTATTGTTTATATTTTCTTCCTTTACTATGATATTTTATTTTGTTCTTTTATAGCTTTATATTATTTGAAATTAGCTTATTTGTTAATTAGCTTATTACAAATTTTTTGAATTTGTAAATATGGTGTGAATGTGCTCTCAGAACTCTATTATAAATGTCCTTTATTGAGACAGATTGTAATATTTATCAATAAACAAATAATAAATTAAATTACAGAATTTAACATATTTTGGGTTCTTACTGCATGATTTTGCACATTTTGAGTTTTTTGATGCTTGTTTTTTGGATTTTTACTGCTCGGACACCCCATCCTTACAAAATGGAAGTTGATAAAAATGGATTAATAAATTAATGCTGAACAGTTAAAGGCAAGCTAAACTAGTTCTGCTAATGTCAGGGATGTTTAAATGTGAAAAATAGTTTCACTAGTTCAGGAAAAAGAAAATGGCTGCTCTGGAGTTTCACCATAGAAGAAAATGGCTGTTAAGGGATAGAAGAAGGAATTCAGTTGTTGTTTGACTGGGGACTAGTTGTTTGGAACTACAACATGGAGGGTGACCCAGGGAGCTTGAGTAGAATAGATGAAAGTGTCACCATTTTGGAAGGTGTGTTTGGCAGAACATTGGAAGTGTTTTTAGTAAAAATATGTGATATTACAATATATCACATGAAAAAGGATATTAGTACTGATGGCTTAATCTTGAATAGCCAGATATGAAAAAGAATAAATTTAAGTCACAGCTCAGTTAATGTTTTTAACTAACTTATTTATTATTTGAAGGCAAAATAAAACTATTGTAATAACGAGAGGATAATCATGTAAATAATTTTTAAATTTTAGCTTCAGACTTGTGTAAGATTTAAAAAATATGATATTGTAATTGTATTATAAATGAATAAACATGGAATAAATATTGGAGAATCCTTTTTTCTAAAATTTAGGAACAAGCTCCTGAAATGTAAACATGATGACAATATAAGTTTTAGTCTAATTTGTCGTAACCTTCAGTTATGAAATATAATTTTTCTTTTTTTTTTTTTTTTAAGAATATAATGGGTAATAAATAGTCAGAACGCAATCATTTTAACATTTTTACTGTAGCTAACGTTTCCAGGGGTGCCCATTCCCTCCAAGGTCGATGGAGCATGAATCATTTCCCTCATTCCGAAAAATGTATTATTCACCCCTTCTTAAGAGAAAATATAATTAGAAAAAGCCTAGATCATAAACAATAATACTACCTGTGTCTGTCTCTTGTTTTCTTCCTAGTTCTCTATTTTGAAACTTTTCACTACAAAAATTCATGAGCCCGTCAAAATTTGTCCTCCTCAAAAGTCCAAAATACCTCCTCAAAAACTTTAGTGGAGCAACTTGTGCCAGAAAATCCCCTTCTGGGCACCCCTGACATTTTAACTCAAGCTTGTTAGTAATTGTCAAGGTTGAAATTTTTTTTATATGACATCAAAGGTATTATATTATAAAACAGATAATAATTAATAAATATTGATGGATGATATGAAAATAAAAAATAATATAGAATGATGTGAATACATGAGACAGACAACATAAACATTATGTAATACATAATAAGCTATACAAACCTTA